CTGATAATGATAAACAAAACATTAATGACAAACGCACTTTTGCGCATCAATAAGCAACCATAAATATACATGTGCCATCTGACGAATCAATAAATGTACGTTTGCGAATTGTTCACTTCTTACTATTACTATTTATTCGATTTACAGAATCAATAAATGCGCATTTGTGTATTATTAACTTATCAAGACGGACATTTGCGCTATCTAGAGATCCAACAAATACATTTATCAATATTATTATAGAAATTTTCATGATATTCAAATTTTGAAACACAAAAATTTCAGAGAAAAACAATTTGGTTCCGAACACTTAAAAATAACAGATGTAGTGAGCACAGTTAAATTGTACAAAAGATTGACAATACATTGTTATCGTTGGAAAGTAAAACTGGATATTCAAAACCCCGTTATCACTGTTTGCCCCAGTCAGTTCTTCCGTTGTACTTGAAAAATGGAGCATTGATCCACCAATATCGAGAAGGACAAACTCCAAGATTCCGCTGTGGAAGTATAAAAAGCGCTGTTGTCAGGTTTTCAACCATCAATGATTCCGTATTCTTTTTTTCTTTTAGTGATATTGCGTTTATCAGTGAAGATTTTGTGCGCTAATGTTGATCTTTCTCAACACTGCTTCAGAACTTAGTCACTCTGAAGGATGCATTGTTTAAATTTGCTGTAATACAATGAATTGTAAGATTAACATGGCGAGTACTTACCCTGGTAACTTGTCCAATGAAATTTACCAGATCATTATTGTGTCATGTGAGGTGAGAGCTAGAATTCAATAATGAAAGCTGAATTAAATGTTATTTTCTTGAATTCTTTTGCGGTTATTTTCCTGAATATCACGAAATCGATTTGGGGAATTTTGCAAACACCAATAGGTTCCAGAAGATGCGTGTACCAAGTCTTGGCTGAAACCGATTTTTGGAAATAATAACCGATCAGATGGAAATCCACCTGATCGGTTAATAAGCCGTAAACTAAAAATCATCACAAGCGGAAACGTAGTAGCTTCATTCACAGTTCGAAAATCCGTTTACCGTAAAAATAAATAAAAAGCTGTTAAGGAAATATGGCGTTTGGCAAATTTCTATCAATTGGTTCCCATTTCTAATGTTTTAGGAAATGTAATTAAGCGTTTAACTAAGATTCTTTTCAAAATGGCTGTTATTTTTTAATAAAGTAAAACTTGTCTTTAGAAAACATCGAAATTATTATACAAACGATTTTAAATATGGCAAAGTTAATAGTACATATTGCTTTTTTTCATCTATTGCCAGGCTGCCGCCCCAGCCGTAGATGGAGGAGCAGGAGGACAAGCGAGAGGTCCATTAGTAGGTATGCATCTCGCTTTTCTACCGTCCTGATTTCCCACCAAAGAAAATATAAATCTGCTATGTACATATTGCATTCTGCATCATTTCAGCTTTTTCATTTGAGATTTCTCGTAAAACAGTATTTGATGGGAGAAGTAATTTTAGTGGTAACTGCATTAGTTCAAATACGGTTGACTTTTGCGGCAGAGACAACGAGAGTCACTTTACTACTTTACTTCTTTGGAGGGAAGAAATTCAAAATAGTGGAAAATTAGTTTCTTATTGCTAACAAGTCAAGGTGTAATAATAACCATTCCAAATCTCAAAAGGGGGTTCTCCCTTGTTCAATTAATTTTATCAGACTAACTATAGCATTAATTTCAGCCGCAGAGGTTATCACAGATTATAAAGCTGATGAGTTATGGGAAGATGGTCGATTAATAGTGACAACAAAAGTAAACGAATGTATGTTCATTTCGCACAAAACTGATTTATTAGTATTATTTAATGCTTAATGATTAATCATTTCGAGAACTTTCATTTTATAACTTGTAGATTTCATTTATTGGCTTCTTTCTGTTAGAGAAGTAATTTGCATTATTATTTCTGTGGAATGATTGCAGCAACACTGATGAATTATGGTACAATGGAAGATGGAAGATCGTTTATTTTGGAAGAGAAGCCGTTTCTGTTTATGGAAAACTCTTTTAATTTGATAAAATGAAATCAGGAGAACTGTAAATGTGCAAGTGGTAAAATAATTAATTCGTGATAAGTGATAACGACAAGTGATAAGTGATAAAGACGAGGGATAAAGATCAAAAAAATTGTTCCGACCCACAACGCTCTCTTGCCGCAATTTGATTAAATTAGCTTGCTTTCGTGTTTGATATTCAAATTCAAACCATGAGCGCATTTGTTTCAAATCACTTTCCGCTTGCGCAAATGTATTTACAGGTCATTTCCGAAGCTAGCATTTCACCCCTATAGAAATGCCATTATAAAATTCATTATCTGTCTTATTCAGTTCTTTCATGGTCTGATATTCCAATTAAGGCCATTTAGCTGCGGGTTCTCCTAACCATTGTGGTCCTTTCCATCATAATTTGTATTCCTTTATTTTTCCTAGAAGAAGCCCTTTTGTAGCAACATCCACAGGGTTATGCTCACTTGGGACATATCGAAATGAAATTTTTGCTTTCCTTCTTTCTTCTTCCCGATTCTGTACGAATCTTAGCAGCAATTTTGAATGATTTTGTATCCAACATAGTGCTATATTTCGAGTTCGATCAAAGAGTTATTGGACACCCGTTTAGTTCTTACTGCTGCATG